TACGAGAAAAGGTAACATATTTGATGGATATTTATGAGCACAATGCACACCAGCTATAATCTAATAAAGTTTATGAAGCAATTGTGCAATAACAGATGAGCCTAGTGATAGTCAGCACTGGTGGGCTTGTTTCATCACCCTCTGAATGCACATGTACGACACAGTGACTTCATTAGATTTGTTTCTACAAAAAGAAAACATTTATTCTCTTAGGGATTTCTCTATATGCCCGTTAACTGGTTACTGTTTATGCCACTTTAATATAGTCCTTAGGTTGTCTGCTGTGGTAATGTTTCAAGATTCAATTGTCACGGATGCACATTTTTGCTACTTACTCTATATCCATGACTATGTGAGCACCAAGTTGTGCATACATAAAGGTAAAGTCTTTGTTTTGCAGGTCATAAGCAAACACTCATTACCTGCAAACATACTATCTAGTGGTTTAAATTTTACCAATTCAAGTTCAGCAGGTGTTCACAGCCAGAGAGCAAGGCATAACAGGAAGGCTGCAGGCTAATGGCAAATATGAGGACAACTCAGTTTGGCAGCTGTCAGTCTTGTGATATCGCTTCTTATTCATCGCTTGAGATATCAGCTGTCTTAATCAGTTAACACTGACAAAATGAAAGAGAAACACACAAACATAAACGACCTTACCTAAATTCCCTAAAAATCCCTGAAAGCACCCAAATCATTGTTTAACATGTTATTTATGGTTACCAAATAATTGTAAACATGTAATATTGTAAGATTTGAGCATATTAAAAATGCAGTGCTTGTTCAGTTTAGCCTATATTAATGAAGATGTCAAAATCACTTGAAAGTATCACTGAATAGACAAAGAGTGATGAGGTACCCAGAGGAGTTTGGTAGAAGGAACCACAGGCTCACCTCTTCAATCATAATCTGTTTATTATTTGGTCAAGTACAAAGTGAAAGCAAGTGAAAGGAGTAACTGAGCTGCCATGACTGAACTGAAGCCATGTCAAATGAGCAACTGGGTAGTTGGAACCTGCATTACTATAGCTTAAATGATACTGTACTGCATGAATACCCATTGAACAGGACTGACAGCACTGGTGCTGACTCTATAGCAATACAGATTATTATAAATAATAATATTAAGCCAAAGAAAATTTTGGAGACTATTTTCTTATCATTTTAGAAATATTTCAAAACCCTGACCACACGTACCATTTGACGTGTTTTTATTGACCCTGGATTGCAACTTTTTGACCTACAAAAGCTAGTGGGCTTTTACCCAGAACAAAGAGGTGTCATCATACCACTCTGGTTTTAGCTTCTTTTCACAGGCTCCCAGTATGTTTCAGATTTTATTGATTTTGTTGAGACCCTTCCTGCCCTTGCTCACAGCTACATCTCTGACTTCTCAGTAATGCATGCTCCAGTATGTGCCTTGAGAACCTTGGACAGAGATGTTTTATCTGTTCAAGGAGCCCCGCTGAAAAATAAGAGATTAAAACATTTGGCCCCAAGGGTCTGGAGGGATTTGCCTGAGGAAATCAGATTGGCTAAGTTGGTGAGCTTTTTGATTTCTTGTTTATGACATACACTTTTCTGTATCTTAACTTGTTTTTCTATTGTTTTTATGGCATTTAATTTGACTTATTTACTAATTTTAACAAAGTGCAAATTTGCTTTTAAGATGATTTTTTCTTTTCTATAATCTGTAAAAATGACATGATCTGATATTTATGATTTCCTCCAAATATTCAACAATAAAGTGTCATTGTTACTTTGTAATATAAAGATATTAAAAATAGGAATGATGACTAATAGTATAAAATAATATGGAATTACATATACTCACCTATATCTGAGGTCTGAGGCTTTGGGGCCAGTGGGAATTTGTCCCCCTAGCAGCAGGTTCATATTTTAGCCTCTATGTAATCTGTCTTTAGGCTTTTTGTATGCACATCCACACACATGCAATACATGAACACAGAACAATACACTTAAAATCATTGAGTC